CGTGTTGACCGCTCAGATGCAGCTCATCAGTGGACAATTTTGAGCGTTCAGATCTATAGTCAGCACTACAGTGTCCGTGCTACTTCTGTGACGAAGGAGCTAGTTAAGTTGGTAACAGAATTCGTCTTTTACCGAGTCACCGTTACAGTTTGTGGGCGCGTAGACAGCGATGACGAACAGGCACATAGTATTCCTGAGCGATTTCGAATAAATGAACGAGCCAGCCATTCGGACCGCACACATCCAGCTACCGATTGGGATCCAATGAACCAGGGCAGCTTCAGCTCGGGGACTCAGGGCAATACCTACGCCTAGTTGGCCGGCATTCGATGCTGCAGCATCTCCGGATAGTAGTAGTGAAAAACCACTGCTACTGTCACCTGAAGCGGATCGCCGAGTGGGCACAGAGCTCGAATCTTGCACGTGGGTTTCCGATAAGCAGCAGATCCCGCTAGGATCCGATCGCATGGTGCTCCTCCAGCAACTGCATCTGCTTTTATCACCTGATCTCGCACAGCGCTGGTCAGCGACGGACTGAGCTCACATAAACCGAAGGGTCACCTGCGGTTAACTTTGAGAACACGGGCTGTGTAGCGACCTGGAGATACCCGCATTAGTCTGGGTAGGATATGTAAAATGTTGCAAAAATATATTTTAACTTATACTTTGACGAAGTAGAAAGACTACCTGTTGAAACGTTGACTAGGAGTGTTTGAGTCAACAAGACGAATCGCACTTGGTGCGCTTCCGGTTTTCCGCCTCGAAGAATGCTAGCGATGTCTGCGGTGGCGGCCATACTACTCCCCCTAGCTAGAACCCTAGGCATTGTCTTTGAGCTAGCAGGACTACAGGTTTCGACAATAAACGCACATCCCGCCCATTTATCTGTCTTTTCCCGGCTATTCCTTAAGGCGGATCGAACATCGGTTGGTAGCGACCTAGTGGTCCATGATCCAAGAAAGTAGGGGTTGTTCTTGTTCTCGCTTTAGTTCCTTCGCAGTGAGAAGGAAAGCACCTCAAATGTCGAAGCACCGAAAAGCATTGGTTTGCTTGCCGGTACAAAAACATGACGCTCGTTAGGCAGGAGACTACTTCATCTCTGAAAGTTGAGTTGAGCTGGATTAAACAGAGCACATGATGTGAATACACCTCGTAGGGACGATTCTTATACAGATAGCAGTGTGATATCCAGAAACGTCACTGAATCCACCGCCGCCTGTCCCACCGAGCGATGCTTGATGACCTTGGTTGGTGTAAAGTTTACGTGACCAAGCTTAGCCCACCAGGATTCCCTGACCTTAGTCAGGAAGCTCATCAGGCTGAGAAACGTTCCGGTTAATAAACCGAATCCTTGATCCATTCTGCTTAGTGGTTCTCTTCACCCCAGAAGAGCACAGGGCGTTATTGAGATTTATCTTCAAGCGCAAAGGCAGTAAGGTTAGTACCAACCAGTCCCGCTAGCGAATAGGTTCAAGTTTATACAAGTCAACAGCGACCTAAAAACTCGGTGTGCAGAGGGCGAATAGGGTCTCTGACTGGTTACTTTTCAGGTGCTCAGCCGGTGGTCCATTCCCGCCCTCTCAGAACCTATTCTACTTGCACAAGATCCAGGGCTGGTCATGTCGAAGTGATTCAAGTGGTCCTTAGCAATGTGCGTAGTCAGAGGAACAATTTGTGCGAGGTGGGTTTGGTCGTAAACAAATCTCGTCAAGGTATACTTGCCTTCATTGGCTGTCAAAGGGTGGAATAGCTCCTTCTGTGAGTTATCATTTAAAAGTATTGAGAACCAGCGTTTTTCATTCATTTCACAAATCTGTTGAGGCTCTTGCACTCTTGAGTTGCGTTTCCTCGGTTCAGTTTATGGTTTTGCTACTGTATAGAAACCAAATGAACACTTCCAAGGGGAGCATTGAGTTTATACACACGTACTCTGCGAACATTTGCCTAGATATGGGTGGCTCCAATCTCCCAGAGGTTGATTGAGCAGATCTATCTTGCAACTCAGCGTTGGGATCGTGAAGTGCAGGCTTGCTGGAGTTGACGCCGCAGGTACCACTACACCCCCACTAGGTACATGAGCAATCAGCAATCGTCTAGCTTGGCAAATATTATCACTTGCGACGCACCACTTGGTATCAGCGATCACGTTTGCTTGTCAGTTCGGTGTGTCCTTACCATGTCATACCAGGCTAGCAACGTTTGGCATCCGAACGTTTGGGCCGCGAACTTTCAAGCGAGGTGTGACAAGGCGCTATCATCGCCTTGTGTGATCTCTGATGCAGACACTGTTCGGATAGACTGGGAAAATGTTAAGGCTTACCTCGTCGATGTTTCTGCGCCTCACATGTCACTCATGAAAAAAGGGAGTCGAAAGCGCAGCCTCCGTGGATAGAGCCCATAGAGAACAGCCTTCTGAAGAAGCGGCCTAGATAGTGGCGAATGTATCAAGCAGCTTCGTCGACCAACACGTTTGACAGGTATCGAGTGCGTAGGAATGAGTGTAAGCTGCATCCTAGATTGGCCCGGTTTCACTATGAGAAGAGCTTAGCTGATAATGTCTCGACCAATCCACCTACGTTAAGCGACGTTGCGGTGCAAAGTTGCTCATTCCAGCGATGCTTCGAGGAGATGGGACCCATGTCTGTAGCGACAGTGACAAGGCGTGTGTGCTTGGTTAGCGTTATTAATGAGTTTTTGCCTGCGAAACAAAAACGCCATGCACATAGCTAGCTTCAAGAGTCCTTGAGGACTCCTTTCTGCACAAAATTAGTGAAACTGAACCTCAGGTTCTCAGGTTTCTGAGAGAGCTAAACCCAACTAAGGCTTCCGGGTCAGATTCTGTTCATCCCAAAATGCTGCACGAACTGACAGCGGAACTCAGCGGACCTCTGAGTTGTGTGGTTCACCCAACAGCTGTCTTGCCTCTCTAATGTAAGGAGGCTGTGATTTGTCCGATTTTCAAGTGCGGTAACAGATCTACCGGCTAATTACAGGCCCGTCAGCCTAACTAGGGTAGTGGTTGAATAAGTTGAAAAGTTGGTAGGGAATTCTGTGGAGAACCAGTTGAATAAATTTAACTTGCTCAGTGTCGCGCAACATGGATGTTGCAAGGGATTTTGAGTCTAATGAACTTATTGATAGCTCGTGAGAGCTGTGCTGAAACCGTGGACAGTGGATATGCAGTTCACTGATTTCGCCAAGGCCTATGACACTGTCCCCATTCGCGAAACACTAAAGTCGCGACCTGGGTATCGGCATTTCTGGATGGACCGGAAAAGTATACGTATGGAAAGCAGTCTTTCTCTCGCCAGCCCGTAGCTTAAAGGCAGCGAGCTTATTTTGTAATCTGGCGGCGCGAGTTCGAGCCTGCGTAGGAACAAGGCGACCCTCGCAGTATCCTTAGCCCACGTGTGATCGGTGGTGGTTGGGCGACAGCGGAGTGTTGGTACAGCATACTGGCGTACTACTGATGTCTTTCCCTTTCTTTTTTAAAGACCACAATCCTGTCTTGTAATCCAAGGGCGCCGGTTTGAGCTTGCGTGGGACCGGACGACTCTTACAGTATCCTTAACCCATGTGTGACTGGTGGTTGTTACGCGGCAGCGAAACATCGGTACGCAGTACCGACGTACTGCTGATGCCAGTCTTTCCGACAAGCCGTCCTTAGCGGAATTGCGTAAGGCTCTGTCTCGGAGACGCTGCTATTCGCAGTCTCCGTAAATGACTTGCCTGGGGGCTTGAGGTGTTACCGCTCTTGTTTGCTGATGGCCTAAAGTCCTGGACTATACTGAATATCCCTTGGGGTCTCAAGGCACTTCAACGGGCTCTGGATAAACGCTGGGAATAGCTGCCTATAAACCGGGCAAAAAGTTCAATGTTGTGTAGCAAAGCGCCTGATTCCTCCACAATTTATGTGATTGATGGGTGTGAAACTCCTTACGTAACTCATCATCGATGTATCGTTCATTGTTCCACTCTTCCCTCTGGAGACAACTGGAAGAAGACGGCTAGTAAAGGGCCCCCGGGTGGTGTGGTTTATTCTTCGCTCTTTCGGCATTTCTCAGCTTTCGTGCGACCCCAGCTGGAATATTGCGTCAAGGCTTGTCCACCATGCCTTGTCCTAGACAAAATGACACGTGTCTGTACTAGGTTAGTTGAAAGGTTACCAGGACAAATGTACCCCGAGTGCCTACTTAGTTTGGGATGAATTCAATGCACTATCGAAAGGGACCTAATCCCAACCTACCGAATTTTAAGTGGGAATGTTGGCTTAGATTTGTTCTAAATTGTTAGTCCTGCTAGGTTGTCTGATCTCCGCGGGCATTCCATAAAGCTGGACAAACGGCGGTCCGACTGAATTAGAGCGGAAACTTGGCTATCGCGTCGTCATCAAGCGCTGGAACCCGTGTTGTCAAGAAATCTACGGTTGAGGGGTTTGAGTGTCAACTAGACGCTCTTGGGTGGCAACACAACATTTCCCTTCTCTTGACCGACGCATCTTCATACTTCGATTTTATTTTCCGGATTTCCCCTCATCATTGGTATTGTCCATTTTCTTCAAACAACTTTCCTTAATCCTTACTTACGATTTCTTATCTCTTGCTTACTTCAAGTAACTGTCACAGCAGGAACTGCTAGTGCAAGGGACGTGGGCATTAATTGGTTGACAAGGGTGTGATACGGGTTTTCTGTTTTAGATCCATCAAAAGGTCGGAGCACCTCATCAACTCCCGGCCTAACGATCCGCTCAAGGAGGAACACTTACGGGATGTTCTTATTGTTCCAGCCACACTTGAAACTGAACAGATGATGATTTTCGTAGGTCGTACAACCCATCTTATTATGAGATCATAGCGCAAGGTAGTGGTGCGACAGTTCTTTGGAAAGTAGCTCAAGCGTCACCATGGCCAAAGTGACTACAGCAATGGCAAATCAGCACACAAGTTATGGAATCAAACTCGCATATACGCAATAGTTCAGAAGCGTAACTTCGGACTTACCTTATTCTGATGAGCATAGGTTACAAAAGATGGGGTGGGGAGATCCATGGAGCGAAAGGGGTCAATACCAGAGACTGACATTAGTATGAGGCCAAATTTGCTGAACTGTGCAAATTTTGCAAGTGCACTGCGCCAGGCGGGTGGAGGATAAATGTCACCTTCAATTTTGATAGAGGGGAAATTCTGCGAGATGACATAAGAAAGCTCCTCGAACACCCGCCGATATCCTCAAGATATACTGTAGATTGAATTAGAGCAGAGGCTACAAAGCTTACCAATAAACAAAACGCAAAGAAGGTAAAAACGTTTGGGTTTTCAACTTCGGAATCTCCTTTGTTTGGAGCTGGTAACCTTTGTTCGCAGTCAAATCCCTCACAGTGAGCAGTGCACAGACAGCAACAACTAAAGTCCACATGACCCCACCATCCATCGTCAAAGCAAACAGCCCAGAGTGGCTCGACTGTAATATTCCTACAGTCCGGCGTTCCAAGCAGTTCTGTGTCCAAAAAGTACGATGGGCAATTATAGACCCTTAGAGCTGCAACACAAAATAGATACCTCGTAGAAAGCTGAATGCTCATATCACATCATCATTATACACGTTAGCTAGAGGTGTAAAACATCTCAGCTACTGTGCCGAAATACATAAAAGAAAAAAGAAAATAAATACAACAGTTGCATGCCAGCTGAGCTACCAGCAACGGATGGGCATCGTTCCGGAAAGCTACCAGCCGACTACTAGGCAAAAAGAAAAATTATTATGTAAAATTATATTACACTACGAAATGAGAACGTGGTTGGTGGGGGAGGCTAATAGGAATGGGGAGGTAAAAGAAACTCACAGCAGGAACGCCACTGAGGTCAATTCCTAGCCATGTCAGTAAGTGTATCTAGCTAAACGTGTTCATCGTCTTTTGGACCCGAACCGGGCAGCCGCGAAGCTTCTACCGAGGCCAGCTTTGAAGTGAGGGCCATAATTCCCTCGACCAAGTCATCGCTTGGCCACCCCTCCTCTTCTTCTATCTACACCCCCGGAGCGCAAACAACGCAGGTCGCGGAAGTCGGTGGGCTGGCACGCGCAACACATGGCCGAGCCATCGGAGCCTGGTGCGTGAAATAACGGTGCTGAGCGGTTCAGTTCCTTTTCCTGTGCCATAAACAAGGCGTCGAACACGCTCATTGCACACGCGGTGTTCCCACCAGATGTGAGCCAAAATGCGAAGGCACCGGTGGTCGAACGTTACTAGCCTCTTTATGTCTGCTGATCTAAGGGGCCGGTTTCGCAACCGTACAGTAGGATCGAAGGTACCGCTGCATTGTACACTCTACCCTTCAAAGCGAGCGTGATGTCGCGCCGACGCCAAAAGCACTTCGAGCTTTTGCTATACGGTTCGTGACCTCCAATCCCACAGGCGTTGATACAACTTCTCAGGGAGTTGAATTTTTGTACGACTTCTAGCTTATCCCTACCAAGGGTCAGCACAGGAGGCGATCCCTGCCAATCTTGGAGGAAAGGCTTGCACTTTGATGGTGCAAAGCAAAGCCCAAAGCGGCTGACAGCTAGTGCTAATCTGTCTAGTGCAGCTTGGCACGTCTGGGAGCTGTCACAAATGAGAGCAATGTCGTCTGCATACTCCAAGTCAAGAAATCGTTCTCCTGGGAGTAGCTCCACACCTAAGTCGTATCCTGTAAACGCAATCTCCATGCCTTCGTCAATAGCGAAATTGAAGAGGAAAGGTGACAACGGGCATCCTTGTCTCACACCGCTGGAGATATTGAAGAGCGGCGACAGCTTGCCGTAAGCCCTCACTCTGCCCTTGCTACGCGCGTATAATGCCCGGATAATATTTACATATTTCTCAGGCACACCTTTCCTGAGTAGACAATCCCAAAGGGCACATGCGATCAACCGAATCGAAGGCACCATGGATGTCGAGGAACACGACTACGGTGGGCAGCCAATATGTGTGACGGTGTCCCAACAAGTGACGCAAAGTGAAGATGTGGTCAATGCAGTCACGACTCCGACGAAACCCGGCTTGCTTCTCAGGAATTTGGCTTTCATGAGCGCCAGTCAGTCTGTGAAGGATTGTGGAGGCGAGTAATTTGGAGGCGATGGGGATCAGACTGATTCCTCTATGGTTGCCGCATTCCAAGCGTGAGCCTCCTTTGAAGATGGGAACAATAGCAACAACAACCGCGTAGTAAGAGGCCGATCTAAAGGTAGCGAGGGAAACATGGAAGAGGGGAAGAAAAGTGCCGAAGAGGAAGAAGAAAGTAAGGCCAAGTGGAAGTAGCACTCATCGACCTCTTACCGTCTAACTTGTTATGGTGACGTCAGCGGACCGGCTACAATAGTCCCCCACTTAGCAAGCGCTGTCCTCATCGCCTATGATGGCCCATACGGGCATCAACCGAAGTACCCGCAGGAGGTATCAGATTCGGGAGATTGGACGACAAGCAGTACGATAACAGGAAAGTTAACGATAGCCTCAAGTGCTATGAAGAAGCATCATGGGCTTCTGTCGTGAACTGGTAAGATCGCCAAATATGCAATATTCCTCCGGTCCGTTTTTCCAAGCACTTCCGTGTCCAAATAGTATGATGGACCGTAATAGACCTTTAGAGTCGCAACACAAAATAGATACCACGTAGACAACTGGATGCTCATATCACAACCGCCCAGTATTCATTGAGTAGTAGAGAGCAGGTCCCATATCAGCTCCTTCTCTTCCCGGTCTCTCAAGGATTGCAGATGTGGTTGTTGTGGCATCGCTCAGGATTTAGTACCAAGTTTGCAGGATCCTGGAGTGCTCAGTGGGTAGGTGTCTAACAAATGTTTGAAACTCGCTTCTAACTGCGCATTGACAATCGGGTCCGGCAGTCGGTTCCAATCATTAACTACCCAAGTAGAGAGAACAACGTCTGAAGGGACTTTGAACCTCCTCGATTCAAACAGCTTCCAAATGCGACCTCGAGTCGAACTGCCAAGTCTAAGCTGAGAAACTACCTCAATTTCCTAATCCTCCTCGTAGAATGCGCCTGGTATAGATGAGGTCTCAATGACGTCGGCGATAGTCTAAAGGGAAAATGTTCGTGTTCTGGAGTCGGACGGCATAGGGGAGATCGCATAGCCCAAGGACAAAGTTCGAGCCTCGCCGCCGATATTTTTCGATCTGGTCACTTTCACGAATCGATAGTGGGGCTATAGCTGGAGGTCCGAATTCAAGTATTGGATGCATACGGAAGGTAAAGTGAAGTCTCAACATCTGCGGTGTCATTCTAGAGAATAACGTGCTTATGACACCCCACATCCTGCTCGCCGTTGCAGTTTTCTTTAATGCCACGATTAGTTTTGAGATCATGGGATACTATTGTCCCCAGATCCTTTTCCCGAGTGACAAACTTGAGCAAAAACGCGCCAATGTGATAAGCGCCCAGTGGTTCCGTAGCACCGATAAAGAGGACAGCACTTATCGTTGTTCATTGGCAAACCCCATTTGATAGACCAGGCGTGCAGTAGATCTAGCGTATCCCGTAATCAGTCGACGTCTTCAAGGCTGGACACTTCCGATCATAGCTCGAGGTCGCCTGCATAGACCAGACAGTTCTTTCGTAGCATAACTGGTAGGTCATTGATGTAGATATTGAATAGTTCCGGTTCGAGGACGGAGGTTTGTGGGACACCACTGGACATAGGCACTGGGAAGGAGAGGGTTTCGTTTACCTTGACTTGCATGCTCCGAACTTGCAAGAAGTCAGTGATCCAAAGTATGACATTCCCTGTTATACCAATTCCGCAGAGCTTAGAGAGTAGTTGCTGATGACCGTCAAAAGCTTTGTGAAGTCAATGAATGCCAGATCTAAGCGTTTTCCAGCGTCCACTGAGTTTGCCCACTTCTCTCTTGCGACAAGCAGGTAAGTGGTGCCGCGACGTCCTCTATGGAAACCATGCTGAGTAGATGAGATGATGTTCAGATTTTATCAGTGTCGATGGTGGCACATGTAATGAGTTTTTCCATGATCTTGCAGGCGACCGACATCATGCAAATCGGCTCCATTGCATTTCGTTGCTGTTTTGCGTGAAGATTCATTCTGAAGTTGCTGAATAATGGATACAATGTCCTTCAAATGCCTATACGATTGTAAGAATGTCACTTCCGGTCGAAGGATGTTCAACGTTCTTGCTGTGAAGGGTGGCAACACATTGCATGTTGGGTCTAGGTCTGTACGATCCACTGCAAAGGACCATTTGCTCAGTCGTCAGATTTATTTGTGACCCGCATCTGATTGGATTGAGTGTCAGGCACGTTTCGAATGGACTACCTCCAACCAGTCCACGTCCCTCATGCCTGCATTCTGTGGCTCAAATGGATGCTCCGCTGCTCCCCATCTTGCCTTCATCTGCCTTTGGCCCGGATAATCCTCCTGGAAGGCATAACCTTGTTTCTTCAAGTTCATCACTAGAACCGTTGTACATTGATCGGCAGTTTAACGAATGCAAGGAAAAAACTTATGCAGTGGTAGCGGGCAGCAGCTTTACTCCGGTATCCGTGAATCCGAATACTCCGCTAAATAAAGACGAAGGCTGTAAACTCTAAATCTAATCTGAACTCTTCTCAGTCCCAACTGAAGGTTGTTTTCGACAAAGTGAATCAGTAGGAGAATATGAGAAAGGCAAGTCCTTACCCGCAAAAGCCGCATCACCACGAGGGAAATAGATTTCCAGCACGGGAACGATATCTGATAATCGTAAACGCCGCCTAGTCTAATAAGGAGTTCTTGGCAGAGATTTGGGAGCACCAATCCTTTCTGAAACGGTTTCTGTACTGTTCCATGCTGGGAAACAGTATAAACTTCGTTTTTGCCTTTCGGTCCGGCCGGAAGCAGGACAACTCCTCGAAAGTTTGTCGAGAGGAATGCCGCCGTATCCTTAAACGGACCTCACGTCTGAAAGGAGAAAGATTCTGTCTTGAGAGACCTCTACACAGAAAGAGTTAAAATGAAGCAGGCCGTTGATGACCCACGAATTCGGTGGGCAGATGGTGAAATCGACCTTCACATTGTGGATTTTCGAAATG